GTTTATTGTACATTTTTATATTTTTTTCTTTGTTTGTTTTTGTTTGTTTCCGCTCGGAGCTATGAGCATAATCTTGGCTAATCGTACTTCCATTTCATCCAAGAACGTTTCAGATTTCTAACTGCATCGCAGAGATTCTTAGCCTGAGGCAGAAAATTCACATGTGTAAACTCAAAAAGAAACCTTTCTAACATTTTGTATTAGGAAGGTCATGATGACTATGTCGCGTTATTGCCTGATAATGACCACATTCTTCAATAGGAGAATATTCATTAAAACCTTATAAAAGTATATATATATATATATATATATATATATATATATATATATATGAATTCCTTTTTTATCTAAGTATTTCCTATTGCTGTAACCGTTACATTTAGTGTGCACACGCCTTTAGGTAGATACAACATTTTAAAATCTTTTTTAATATCTACAGTCAAGTCACGATATTAAGCGTTCTTCGTTTCGTAATTATAACACACACATACACAATTATATATATATATATATATATATATATATATATATATATATATATATATATATATATATATATATATAACAACGCACATCATTATATAAATGCTTTTACTAATGAACAACATATAGTTTTATACAATTTACCCTGAAGATGATCTTGGAAGATCGAAAGTACTTAGGAAATAAAAAGGAAAGAAATTTAAGCAGCTATAGCAGATTACTCTCATCCTTTAACATCAATACACAGAAGATTATTCGTGAGCATCAACAGATTTGGTTAAAAATTAGCAGACATAATGTATGTAATGCATTCAATCAGACATTTCTAAAAGAGAATTTGCTACCTATATATATATATATATATATATATATATATATATATATATATATATATATAGAAGTTAATAAAATATGAAATTTGTCATTTAGTCGATTGATGTTGCTATCAGCATCTTGACTGTAGAATTTCGTAGATAGACCCTCTAGCAATCGCTCCGACCACTCGTCGGAAGATGCTAGCAATAGATTTGTTTATTTTCTCGTTTTTTCATTTTTTCAAGTTAAATATAATTTTCATTGGGGCAACGTTGGTGTTTTCTTCTTTCATTCGGTGCGTGTGTGTGTGTGTGTGTGTGTGTGTGTGTGTGTGTGTGTGTGTGTGTGTGTGTGTATGTGTATGTGCTGTTATTTAAGCAGCATAAATTTATCCAAAGAAATATTATTAAATTTCAACGACAAGCTCCTTTTTTTCAAGTTTTAATATTTCCAATCATTGCTCATGCAGGATATATTCTAGTCCTTACAGCTATCACGGTCATTTTCAAGAAATGGGTATTACCAGTACCGATTGCAAGATTTATCCGACTAAATTTGGCCGTTTTTAAATAGATTGATTTATCTTTGGAATTTGTAAGGGTTTAACAGAAAATCACGTACTGAATATATATATATATATATATATATATATATATATATATATATATTGATGCATGTTTCATTAAATAATATAGGCAAGTTTTGCCTATTTATTTCTAGTAAATTCCTTTCATATTGTCGAATAAGCTTAATAACATTATCATTGCAAGAAGAAAATCACAATATTGATACATGTTTTTTTAATCCTATCTAAGATTTCGGCTTACATAAGCCACTATCAAAGATGACAATTACATTACAATATATTAAACAATACACGGGCAAGACAATAATGATAACCTGTTTTTGTTTACATGGATGATTTCCAAGCAATGATAAACTCGTGCATACGAGACACTGGAAGTGAAAATCGCACCGAATCTCACGTTTTGTTCAGGTTAGGTTTCAACTGTTTTATGTATATAGCTTCGAGAATTTTTAGTTTTTGTTTATTGTTTTCATTTTTAAAAATCATTGTGTTTTCAACGAGGATTTTCCGGAATTGTGTACGCGGCCAGGCATGTTATTTAAATGCCTAATATATACGGGGGTTGGACAAAATAATTTGAAACAGTTGTTAAATTCAAAGAAAATTTATTTAATATGGAGTTGGTCCTCCTTTAGCCTCACAGACAGCTTTAATATGTCTAGGAATGGAATCATACAGCTTCCTGACTTCATCAAGAGGAATTTTCAGTCATTCTTCCATTAAAACCTTCTCCAGCTCTTTACGACACGACGGTGGAGGATAGCGGCTCCTAACTTGTTGCTCCAAAATGCACCACAAATGTTCAATAATATTGATATCTTGAGATTGGGGAGGCCACTTTCATGCTCTTCATACCAATTCTTAACCACTCGAGCGGTATGTATTGGAGCATTATCGTCTTGGAAGATGCAGTCACCATCAGGGAATAAAGTCATGGCCATTGGATGAACATGATCTCCCAAAATATTCAGGTAATCTTTGCTGTTGATTCTACCATGCAGGGCAACTATTGGACTGAGACATTTCCATGATATGGCGGCCCAAACTATCACTGATCCACCTCCATGCTTCACTGTTGGAAGAAGGCTGTCAGGGTTGTAAGCTTCTTTGGGCTGCCTCCACACATAAACTCGCCCTGAAGTTGGGAAAAGACAAAAACTGGACTTGTTTGAGAATATGACTTGCTTCCATTGGTCTGCAGACCAGGCATTGTGATTTCTGCACCACTTCAACCTCTCTTGAATGTTGCAAGTGGAGAGAAGAGGTTTCTTCACAGCGGCTCTTCCATGATATACAGCCTTATGGAGCTCACGGTGAACAGTTTTAGTAGAAAAAGGCATAATATCTATCTTACGCACGGTGGACACTAGACCTGGCTTCTTTAATATTTCCCCTTTTCTAGCAAGATTAATGCTCGACAAACGTACATATAAGTTTTAGATCAAAATAAAAATAAAATTCATTTCGTTTTTCATTCAAAATACTCAACTTTTAGGAATACGTTTTCACAACATCGCCCACGTGACAACGACGTGATCATATTTAAACGGAACGCTGATCTTATAAAAGATTTCAGTTATCTGTTTGGATTGGTATTGCTTTTATGTCCATCGTCTTTTTCATGTTGAATTGAATATGGTCTATGTTAATTATGTTTTATGAATATGTCCTGAAAATGGTCTATTAGACCGAAATGTCCGACGTTGACATTATATTAACATTAAAACAGCATATTAGGATTTTTGTTTGTTTTTTCCGTATATTTTTCTTCATATATATATATATATATATATATATATATATATATATATATATATATATATTTTAATTTGTTATACATATCTCACAATTTGGTTTGAAAAACTTTTTGTCAAATGTATATATATATATATATATATATATATATAAAAAACAGGCGAAATTAACCGGTTTTTACTCCCTCTTCAGGCTTCCACGGGATATTTAATCTAAATTAAAACAACAGAAACAGGAAGTTGTAAAGGTGGGGGAAAAATGAGCAAAAGGAACTAGAGAAAAATGACAGCGAGCCCCCAACAAACACTCACGTTGTTTAAACAAAGATGGCTTGCAAACACGATGTAAAGTGCCTCCAGAACCTTAAGATGAAATAAAGTGTGTGAAATTACAACACAACAAACCAGTCCGCACTAAATGTGGACCATACATATCTCTGCTATATATATATATATATATATATATATATATATATATATATATATATACTAAATTTGGGCGCATACTTCTATAAGCTATATATATATATATATATATATAATTATTTTTATAAAAAATTATAACATAAGTATGTTATAAAATCACTACAAAAATAGCCATTTTGTTTCAACACACTCTGTGTCTTATCAAGTGATGATGTTGAAAAAGAAAATAAATGGTTTTAAAAGTTTCAGATTAATTAACGATCCTACACTAGGGGGAACATTGTTACAAAAGCTAGAATAACCAATCAAAAACGAAGTATAGAAAGATTCAAAAGCTTGACAACGAAATCCTGCTATAATAGCTATTCAGATCTTTAAATACGTGTAATATTAAAAATAATTTATACTAACTAATAATTATAATTATTATTATTATATGATAAAATTTAATATTAAAATTAAAAACTGGCAATTTTAAAATCCAAATTTAATCACTATTAAGTTTAAAAACTACAAAATTATTTAGAAAAGAAAAAATATATATGTTTATTCAATTCATTTCTTCATTGAAATTACGTTCGACAAGACGCTACAATATATCCGGTCATTTGACAATACATGTATATATATATTTTTTTTTTTAAAAATTTCCGTTTTTATTTTAAAGTTTGTGAACGTGGTCTTAAACTCACGCGTAAAAACAACAAAAACACAATTAGATTATAATACATAAGCACCCAGACATAATTAGATACACACACACACACACACACACACACTAAAAAAAAAAGGAAGGGGGGATACATGAACATCTCTACAGCCCTTTATGAAAAAAGGAGACGTGAAAACTAACACTTATACACACACACAGTTAAATGTGAATACACTCTACATACACATAGACACCGATAGATACACATACATCCATCCACAGACAATGACATAGACAATGAGAAATCACAACCAATAAATATTTCAGACTTAAATAAATGCTAACCACTTATTGAATTATAACTTAAAAAAGCAAATATACAAAGATAAAAATGGTTAAAAATAATATTATTTAATATATTAAAACGAAAATTCTAAAACCATAAATATCAATAAAAAATATATATTAATCATATAAGTTGATAATAGTTTCATTATATATTAGGCAAAGAAAAACAGGATAAAGAAACCCACAAATATATACAATTATATATATATATATATATATATATATATATATATATACACGGCAGCAAAAAAAAATTAACACACATAAATATACACTCATACATACATATACATACAGAAATACATACAAATAAATATATATATATAAACATATACGCACATATACATATCTATGATAACAAGTACACATGCACGCACATATACATATAAACCTAAATACACACATATATACACACAGACTTTTATGCACACAT